GGCGCAACACCTTAGAATACGTGCCCCCACCCCCATTCTCCCTCTGAGGGAGACAGTAAGTGTCACCTTCCCGCAGCTTCCAGACCCTGTGGATGCCACCAGCCCCCCACCCGTGTCCCCGGGACTTTGCACCCCTTTAGGGGAGAGTGCGCCTTCTGCCGGACTGTGGCACTGAGCAGCCTTGTGTGTTGCTGGAAGCAGTGCACTGGGGTTTCAGATAGATAGCAGCATGGTGATGGGGGGAGGGTGGCGTGATGGGGTGCAGGCTTCCGTGGAACTTCCCGACTCAGACAAGGAAGAAAGGCCTGGGGACTTAATCCTGAAAACCCGCCAAGACTGCAGACCTTACAGTTCTCCCTGGGGTGGGGTGGACAACACCTACGAGGTTGGACTTGAAGGGGCTGACCATCATGAGGATGACACGGGAGTGGGCAGCACAGGGGCAGGTGTGGATCCGGGGACAGCTGAGAACCAGGGTAAGCCCGGTGGGGGTCCACCGGGCTGGCCCTTGTGGACTCTGAGGGACCTGGGAGTGGAGACGGTCAGCTCTGAAGTAGTTGGGGCTCACTGCCCAGATGGGCCGTTCTAACTGTCCCTGGGCTGAGCTGGCCAGAGGGGGACACAGACCTTTACCCCACAGCTGGATCACCAACGGTGGCACAATGGATTGGGCATTGGGCTGCTTACCACAAGGTCAGCGGTTCAAACCCATGCCGTGAGACGAAGATGAGGCTGTCTACACCCATAAAGATTGGCAATCACGGAAACCCTAGGGGATAGTTCTCCTCTGTCAGAATTGGCTCAGTGGCAGTTTGGGCACCGAGCCCTGCTGGCATAGTGGTTGCACATTGGGCTGCTGACCAAAAGGTCAGCAGTTCGGAACCAGCAAGAGACAAGACAGTGCTTTCTACTGCAGTAAAGCGTGACTGGCTCGGAAGCCCGCAGGGGCAGTTCTACCCTGTCCTGTAGGATGTCCGTGAGGCAGCGTCCACTCCGCGGCAGTGAGGTGGCTGACTTTAAGAAGCAGGGGCTGTGGTTCTCTCTATCCGCGACCCCCAAGCTGACCCTACACACAATGGGATCCGATGGCTGCGATCCCAGCAGTCTCCTTGGCTGATCAAAGCCCCCGGACTTTGTAGCGTGTCACAGCACCAGGCCCACCTCAGCAGACAGACCATGGTGGCTGCTGCTGAGCGCTGCCAGTAGGACTTGACCACTGGCACCTGGCACCTGGAAGGCGAGTAGTCTGCTGTAAGAAGCACGGAATCATGGGGCCAGGGGAGGCAGAGGAACACCCGGGGGCTGGGGGAGCTGTCACCTATTAGATGCCTCTGCGTGCCAGGGCACAGCTGGCGCCCCAGGGCATGTGTGTGTGTGTGTGTGTGTGTGTGTGTGTGTATGTGTGTGTGTGCGCGTGCGCGCACCCAGGAACTTGCGCCACACTCCATCGTCGCCTGGGACTGAACTCTGATCTGTAACTGCACACTACTCTGGCCATCTGGCGGGGGCGGGGGCGGGGGCGGGGTGGGCACAGAGGTGCAAGTCCTGGGCAGGTGACCAGGTGAGCCAACCTGTTATTCCAGCACCTGAGGGCCTTCTGGGCGTCATGCCAGACAGCCTAGAGCCGGTGTCGGATACCTCTTCCACCCCCTTTCCGGAAGCTTCTCCCCGCCCCTGCCCCTGGGATCCCACGGGCCTCTTCCTGGTGCGTCTCCACCTGAGCAGCCTCCCCTGCCCTGAGTTTGGGCGCGTGGTAACGCAATGCCAGGCGGCCTGGGCTGGGCGTGCAGATGGTGGCGTGGTGGGGGTGGGGGGTGGACATCTGGCGGCCAGTGGGACAGTACCAGTGTCCGTGCCCCTCATCCCCAGGGCCAGGAGCTGGCCTGTCTCAGGACCTGGCAGGCCAGCCCCGTCACAGTCCCGATGACAGCGGGGATTATCGCCGTGGGTGGTAATCCCCACCAGGACAGTTTCGGGTTTCATGGCAGGAACTGGGCGAGTCCACTGTCTCGGCCTGCATCCGGACCTTGTGGGGCGTGTTCTCCGGCAGTGTGCTCTGCTGTGGCCTGTGGCGGGTCTGAGAACTGGCGGGGTGGGTCGGGGAGACCACAACTCCCCTATGAAGCTCTGTCGAGTCAGCCGGGAGCCCCGGCAGCCCATACTGTACAGGGTCTGCACACCAGTTTCAAGGCTGGTTTGTCACAACCAGGTAACCCGGCCTTTAGAATGAGGCGGCGGCGTGGACGCCACCTTCCTTTCAGCAGTTGCCTGCGTGAATTAACTGTTTGCACATACATCCACCACCCCCACCCGCTGTTAACAGAACACAGAGCTGCACCCGTGGGGGCTCTGCCTGTCATCATGCATGCTGGTCACTAGTCCTTATTTCCTGGTGGGCTTGAGCCTGCAGCCTGTGGGTGCCACTGCGGGATCTGTACACAAAAACAGCGGGCTCAAGGGTGCCGACTGCTGTGGCACGGATCCCGATGTGGAGCGCCCCCTTGTGCATGAGAGAAACCCTGTGCCCCCAGGGTCGGCCATGGCTGACCGCTTGGGAGGGGACGCCGGGCCTTTCTTAAGAGCTGGAACCTTCTACCTTTGGGTGAGCAACCGAGCAGGCAAACTGCTTGCATCACTCAGAGATTTGCTGGCGGGGGCGGGGGAGGAGGGGGGAGGCCCTGCCGTTGCTGTGGGCGGTGGGAGGGTGGGTGTGATGAGCTGGTGTGGGCTGACACTGGGGTATCACACCAGGGTCACTCTCTGACCCTGTGTAGCTCACGCCTCAACCCAGGGGGCAATGGCAGGGCAGGGGTGGGGGGGTGCTCCAGTCAGCGTCTCCTCAGCCCATGGGCCCCACAGTGGGCCCTAAAGCAGAGTCGTCAGCCTCCCTGGGAGCCGCAGGGAGAAGCCAGATGGGAGGGGCCCCAACTTTCTTGAAAGGGCAGCCACGTGACAAGCATCGCAGGAGGGATCAGAGGGAGCCCTGAGCCTCCAGTCCTGAGGGTAAATGATGCCTGGGCTTCTGGAAGCCACCTCCCCGGCAGGTGGGGGAGAGCGTCATCCCTGCCCCTGTTTCACTGGTGGGAAAGTTGAGGGATGCAACAGGCTGCCCTGGGGCTCATGTAACCCTAGCTCATTGATTGTGTTTGGGGAGGATGGGTGGAGAAGAGCCGGGAGCGAAGGCGGGGAGGCTGGGAGTGGAGGGAATGATCCTGGACTGCTGCAGACGTTCCCGAGATGTGCTCCTGGCCACAGTATCCTGTCCCTGCGCTCACGCTGGAGAAAGTCAACCTACCGTGCTGCTCCGGCCTCCTGCTGGACGGTGGGAATTCTACCACTGGACCACCCTCCCCAGATGGATGAATGGATTGAGCGTTATAGGCCTTCAGACCCATAGTGACCCAAACGGTGCTGCCCGGCCCTGCACCACTCTTGCAATCCTGTTCATATCTGAGCCCATTGTTGTGCCCTGTGTCTGTCCATGCCCTGGTGGGCCTTCCTCTTTTTCTCTGGCCTCTGCTTTATGCCCTTCTCCAGGGCCTGGTCTCTCCTGACAACACGTCCCCAGTACCTGGCACACAGTCTCTCCGTGCTCAGTTTTAAGGAGCATTCCGGCTATACTTCGGCCAAGACCGATTTGCCGGCCATGGTGGTTTCAATATTCTTAACCAGCACCAGGCGGTCTTCATTCTTCATTGTCCAACTTTCACACGCATAGGGCCAGGGCTACCTTCCTCCTCGCTCTTCAACACTTGAAAGAGGTCTTGTGCACCAGATTTACCCAATGCAATGGGTCGTTGGATCGCGACTGCTGCTTCCATGAGCATTGGCTGTGGATCCAACCAAGCAAGATGGGAATCCTTCACAACGTCCACCTTTTCTCTGTTGATTATGATGTTGTCTACTGGTCCTGTTGTGTGGATTTTGTTTTTGTTTTGACATTGAGGTATCTCTATACTGAAAGCTGTGGTCTTTGATAGACTAGGGCTAACTATACCCCCCGCCCCGCACCCCACCCACAAAAACACCTTTCTGCCATTGAGTTGATTCTGACTCCTAGCGACCCCAGAAGACAGCGTAGAACTACCGTTGTGTTTTTCGAAGACTCAATCTTTGTGGGGGCAGACAGCCTCATCTTTCTCCCTCAAAGGAGAGCAGCTGGTGGGTTTGAACCCCGACCTTCCACTTAGCGAGGAGCCCTGGTGGCATCTATCCATTGGGCTGCTAATTGCAAGGTCAGGGGCTCAAAACCACCAGCCGCTCTCGTACCCCATAGGGGCAGTTCTGCCCTGTCCTCTAGGGTCACTGAGTCGGCGTGGACTGGATGGCGGTGAGTTTGTGTTCGGAGCTGCTCCCTGTCAGAAAGATGAGGCTGCCTGCTCCTGTAAAGATCGACCGCCTTGGCCACCCTAGAGCAGTGGTCCTCAACCTGTGGATCACGACCCCCTTGGGGGTGTGTGTGTCAAACGACCCTTTCACAGGGGTCGCCCGATTCACAACCGTAGCAAAATGACAGTGATGCAGGAGCAAGGAAAATAATTTTATATGGTTGCGGGGGTCACCAGCACACGAGGAACTGTATCAACAGGTCACGGCATTAGGAAAGTTGGGAACCGCTGCCCTAGAGACTAGTTCTCCGTCTCGCTGCGCTGCTTTGAGTTGGGATGCGTACTTGACAGCAGTGGACTATGGATGGGAGGGGTGGGGGATTCCAGTCACAACCCCGGCCCTCTTGGAGGAACGGCCATGTCCCCGTCACAGCAGGCTTCCCAAAGTGTGGCCCAGTGAAATTCAAAGTGATGGAATTTATGCACTGCCTTCCAAAGCGCCCTTGTTTTCAAGGGCCTGGCTTTGCGCTGTTTGTGCGACAAGCCCTGTCTTGGTGGGGTTGGGCGCCGGGGGCTTGTGGTCAGCATGCCCGTGGCATCTGCTGCTTAGGGGGCTTGGCCAGGTGGGGCGTCTTCTCCATCTCTGACGCGGCTTCCTCTCTGCATGCACAGATGCTGCGTTCGGGACGCCCCCCGGTTACAGCTGCGCCGCGGACCAGGCGGAGGAGCAGCGGAGGCACCAGGATGGGCTGCCCTACATCGACGACTCCCCCTCCTCCTCCCCGCACCTTGGCAGTAAGAGCAGGGCCGGCCGGGAGGCGCTGACCGCCGGAGCCTCCGAGCCCAAAGGGGTGAGTGTCTCCTGTGTGGGGCAGGTCAACAAGAAAGACCGGGCTTTCTACTCCCGTAAAGGGTGCATGAACAAATGTGGTTTAAAAAGCTGATGGTGCCCGGCTATCAAAAGACATAGCTTCTGGGGTCTTAAAGGCTTGAAGGTAAACAAGCGGCCATCTAGCTCAGAAGCAACAAAGCCCTCATGGAAGAAGCACACCAGCCTGTGTGATCACGAGGTGTCAATGGGATCAGGTATCAGGCATTAAAGACCCAGAACAAAAACTCATATTATTGTGAAATGAGGGGGGTGCAGAGTGGAGACCCAAAGCCCATCTGTAAGCAATTGGACATCCCCTTACGGAAGGGTCTCGGGGAGGAGATGAGTCAGTCAGGATGCAGTGTAGCAATGATGGAACCTACAACTTTCTTTTAGTTCCTAAATGCTCCCCCCCCCAACACTATTGTGACCCCAATTCTACCTTACAAATCTGGCTAGACCAGAGGATGTACACTGGTACAGATAGGAATTGGAAACACAGGGAATCCAGGGCAGATGAACTCCTCAGGACCAGTGGCGAGAGTGGCGATACCGGGATGGCGGAGGGAAGGTAGAGAAGAAAGGGGGAACCAGGGAAGGTAGAGGAGAAAGGGGGAACCGATTACAAGGATCTACATTAAACCCCCTCCCTAGGGGATGAACAACAGAACAGTGGGTGAAGGGAGACGTCGGACAGTGTAAGACATGACAAAATAGTAATAATCTATAAATTATCAAGGGTTCATGGTGGGGGCTGGGGAGAGGAAAAAGTGAGGAGCTGATACCAAGGGCTCAAGTAGAAAGCAAATGTTTTGAGAATGATGAGGACAACAAATGTGCTTGACACAATGGATGAATGGATGGATTGTGATAAAAGTTGTACAAGCCCCCAATAGAATGATTTAAAAAAAAAAAGAATGACCGTCTCAGAAGCTCGCAGGGCAGCTCTGCCCGTCTTGTGGTTCACCATGAGTTGGCATCGACTCTGTGGCAGTGAGTTTGAGGGAATGGTTATGAGTCGGGCTGCTAACCACACCGTCAGTGGGTTGAGACCCCCAGCCGCTCCGATTTGAAAAGATGAGGCTTTCAACTCCTGTAAAGTGTTGCAGTCTACAGAACCCCAAGGGACCGTCCCACCCAGTCCCAGGTTGACCCGAGAGCAGTGGGCTTGGTGTTTTGGTGCAAAGGCTGCGTTCTCCCGAGACGCACAGCCCATGATGCTTGCATGTCCACGTGTGTATTTAAACCTCACTGCCCTCCAGCCCGAGGAGCCTTGGTGGCCTAGTGGTTGTGCGCTGGGCTGC